ATTTCTCTCGAAAGATATTGCGCATGCGCGCACACCGTGTTAGGCGTGCAGTGCCATCTGAGGCAAACTTCATAATATACCTTGCTGAGGAGGCGAGGTGATGGGAGACTAAGGAAATGCGGCAGGGAAGATAGCAGGGGGCGGTAGAAGAAGAAGGAGGCTGAACGAGGGACAGGGGAGGCAAGGGATAGGGCGTGAGGACATAAAGTAGGTGTTTTGTACCCTACCTGCTAGGGCGCTCTCCTAATTATAAACACATGTCAACTAATAAAAGTTGATTAGGGAATCTTTGCTGAGATACCCCCTAACCATTTTAAATGCATATTCACCACAAAATATAACTCCTCTGGTGAGATATTGCACATGCGCTAACACACTAACATAGCCATATTGTGTACTGGCTAGTATACGCAGCCGGGACCATACATGCAAAGTCTTCCTCCTATTTCTTAAATGATATCTACAGATAGAATGTTATCACATAGATCCATGCTAGGATAACTGCTCTTCATTTTAAATGCATAATCTTTGCAAAATACGATTTCTCTCGGGAGATATTGCGAATGCGCGCGCACCGTGTTAGGCATGCAGTGCCGTCTGAGGCAAACTTCATAATATAGCTTGCTGAGGGAGAGAGGGGATGGGAGACTGAGGAAAGACTGCAGGAAAGATAGCTGGGGGCGCTAGAAGAAGAAGAAGAGGAAGGAGGCTGAGCGAAGGACAGGGGAGGCAAGGGATAGGATGCGAGGGCACGAAGTAAGTGTTTTGTACCCTACCTGCTAGGGCGCTCTCCTTAGTATGAACACATGTCAACTGATAAAGGTATATTAAGGAAATCTATGCTGAGATACCCCCTAACCATTTTAAATGCATATTCACCACAAAATATAACTTCTCTGGTGAGATATTGCGCTTGCGCTAACACACTAACATAGCCAGATTGTGTACTGGCTGGTATACGCAGCCGGGACCATAAATGCAAGGTCTTCTTCCTCTTTCTTAAATGATGTTTACAGATAGAATGTTATCACATAGATCCATGCTAGGATAACTGCTCTTTATTTCAAATGCATAATCTTTGCAAAATACGATTCCTCTCGGGAGATATTGCGCATGCGCGCGCACCGTGTTAGGCGTGCAGTGCCGTCTGAGGCAAACTTCATAATATAGCTTGCTGAGGGGGAGAAAGGATGAGAGAATGCGGAAATCTCGCAGGGAAGATAATTGAGGGCAGTAGACAAAGAAGGAGGCTGAGCGAGGGACAG